GTACACTCACTCAGCTTAATAACTATTCGTACAGTCTACATGATAGACTGCCAGTACACTCCCTTTACTTAATAACCAGGCTACAGTCTACCTTATAGACTGCCAGTACACTCCCCCAACTTAATAACCAGGCTACAGTCTGCATTATAGACTGCCAGTACACTCACCCAGGTTAATAACTATTTGTACAGTCTACATTATAGACTGCCAGTACACTCCCTTTACTTAATAACCAGACTACAGTCTACATTATAGACTGCCAGTACACTCCCCCAGCTTAATAACCAGGCTACAGTCTACATTATAGACTGCCAGTACACTCACCCAGCTTAATAACTATTTGTACAGTCTGCATTATAGACTGCCAGTACACTCCCTTTACTTAATAACCAGGTTACAGTCTACATTATAGAGTGTCAGTACACTCACCCAGCTTTATAACTATTCGTACAGTCTACATTATAAACTGCCAGTACACTCCCTTTACTTAATAACCAGGCTACAGTCTACATTATAGACTGTCAGTACACTTACCCAGCTTAATAACTATTTGTACAGTCTGCATTATAGACTGCCAGTACACTCCCTTTACTTAATAACCAGGCTACAGTCTACATTATAGACTGTCAGTACACTCACCCAGCTTAATAACTATTTATACAGTCTGCATTATAAACTTCAGTACACTCCCTTTACTTAATAACCAGGCTACAGTCTACATTATAGACTGCCAGTACACTCACCCAGCTCAATAACTATTTGTACAGTCTGCATTATAAACTGCCAGTACACTCCCTTTACTTAATAACCAGGCTACAGTCTACATTATAGACTGCCAGTACACTCACCCAGCTTAATAACTATTTGTACAGTCTGCATTATAGACTGCCAGTGCACTCCCTTTACTTAATAACCAGGCTACAGTCTACATTATAGACTGTCAGTACACTCACCCAGCTTAATAACTATTTATACAGTCTGCATTATAAACTTCCAGTACACTCCCTTTACTTAATAACCAGGCTACAGTCTACATTATAGACTGCCAGTACACTCACCCAGCTTAATAACTATTTGTACAGTCTGCATTATAAACTGCCATTACACTCCCTTTGCTTAATAACCAGGCTACAGTCTGCATTATAGACTGCCAGTACACTCAACCAGCTTAATAACTATTTGTACAGTCTACATTATAGACTGCCAGTACACTCAACCACGCTGGCCGTGATGCTGATTGTTTTCTTTGTTTATAAATTGAGAAGCTTGAACAATGAGTTGACCGTGCTACTCACATCGTCGATCTTAGATCGCCACACTTCCTTACATCCGTTTCTGACACCCGTCTCAATTCCATGCACGGTTAACATGACTGATTTTACTCTCTTGGGATGTCAACCTTGACCCGTAATCTCAGCACTTTGGAAAAAACGAACTCCACAGTTTTGAACTCCGCTTTGTGTCATCTCCAACATGTTGCGTCTCTTTATTATTGACTTATCTTCCACTCACGTGATGATGGTATCTCTTCATACATTGCACTCATTTAAATCGAAGCTGAAAAGACATCAAACTGCCCAACGCAGATGCTTCACTCAAATAAACAAAATTATCAAGTTGCGTCTCGCCTCAAGTGCGAGATTAGAGATGCGGGCCACCCTTGCCCAGCTGCTGCTCTTGGTCTCGCTACGGACTTTAAAAAGAAACACTTCTTAAATTGGTGGGACAAAAGCTGGTCGTGTTCAAATAAAAAAATCCCAATGATAACATGCAAGGCTGGCAATTCCACAGTTCCCTCCATCATTTAACAATGATGGAATTGGCCATGATCATTTATAAGCCGATATATTTAATATACGATATCAGTCATCTTTCTGTAAACATAGGCCTGTTGAGTAAGACATATGTTATCAAATTGACTGGAGGATAATTTAATAAATACAACCCTTTTGATTAGATGCTACATAGTAGTGCATTCATTCTTGATTTGAAACTTTCGTGACTACAGGAATCCATACTCTTTGGTTCTTTCGGTAAAGTCACGTAGATATAAAATAAAATACAATTTAGTTTTATTTATTTCATACCTACGTGACTTTACCGAAAGAACCAAAGAGTATAGTGCATTCATGTTTGCACAGCAGATGGCTTTCTCATTGTAATACATTTACAACACTTGTCAACTTTATTACCTCAGAATAATATAATGTTTCATTCTCTCGCTTGTAGAAGCAGAATAACATGGTCATATTCAACTCTGGTGTGGTTTACCCATCTCAACACAGAATATAAATTCACGTTCGCTTCTTGGTCCATGAGCTGTCCCTATCAACCCTTCAAGTTGCGTTTGCAGACCACCATGCACCAATGACATTGTACTCATTTAAAAACCCACGAGCAATCGTAGCATCTGAAGCACTTCCGCAGATATCTGACGGCATTGCGGCATTGCAACAGCAGTGGTCCTTGGACAACAGCAGCCCGCGGTCCACTGCTGTCCATACGCCACGACAGCGTGCATACTGCACCCACATGGGGAACTTGAGCATGTACAGGTTGTTTAACCTCACCCAGTGCCAGAGCACAGCACATATCCAAAACCTGGCAGGCTGCGACAGCAATGAGAAGGGAAATGCCCCGACTGGAAACGTATAAACTTGCAGCAGAGTGTAAAGTTCAGTTCAATGCAGGGCATGATTACTATGCGCCATAATGTATCAATTACAAAAGTATGCATATGAACATGGTTGAGAATGCTCTTGACAAGTGTCAAAAATACCAATTAAATGTATTTACTGTTGGACATATTGACCTTATGGCGGGACCCCGGGGTCCCTAATAAACGGAAGTGAAAATCGAAATTAATGAATTTATTTTGTCCAAGCGCAGCGAGGACGAATGCGCAGAAGAGCTGAGCTAGTGAACGCGCTCCATGCTCGAGTATGGGCAGGATCGCACGTCTTGTCGAGAGCTGCTCAAACTGCCGACACGACTTAAGTCCTTTATGTGTCACTAGAGGTAAGTACCCAGCGTTGCCCGGGCGAAAAAGACAGACACACACATCGACTTACACAATAACAATCGCTATTCGACACTAAGTGGTAGTGGCGTCACCACGACGCTTGTGCCAGGCTATGTGCACCTTGAGGCCACGTAAAGTGTCGAACGCCCGCTGGCAGGAGGTCACGGGCCAGACCGAGCAGGTGCCACAGGTCGACTGACTGAGACGACCGAGATGAATGGCTGATGCACCACCTGTGCCCCCTACTTTGGCAACTTGCTGTGCTTTAGCCACTCGGCGCTCCGCTCGTTGTTGTGAGCGTCCCTCTTCCGCCCCCCGTTGTTGTTGGAGGACGACTGCCTCCAAGTGGCCAGTAGCGTCAGTCACGAGCCTCCTCCACAGAGGCCGATCTTGACACCGCTGGTACCAGTCATCGTCAAGTCCACTCAGCTGCACATCCTCCTGTACCACATCACTCCATCTCTTCTCTAGCCCGTGCTGCGCGCGTTTATTCCCAACGATCTGGCCGAACAAAAGCTGTTTAGGCATGCGGTGTCTGGGCATGCGGGCTACATGGGCCAGCCAACGCAGCCTTGCCTGTCGGAGGAGCTCATGGACTTTGTCCAGATCTTTAAAGGATTTGTGAGCTCGTCACAATCCAGCGTGGTTAGACCCAGGATGGATCGTAGGCAGGCCAGCCTCAATGTGTGTAAGCGGTGAAGCTGTTCCAATAAGGGGGTCCACGTTTCGCATGCGTAGAGAAGGGAGGGAATGACTGTGGCCGAGAAGACCTGAAGCTTCGTGTGGAGCGACAGAGCAGGTAGCTTGCACACAGCGTGACGCAAACAATGAAAAATTAACCCGTAAAACTAAGTTTTTCACTCTAAATCCTTTATATGCGTGGCGGCTAGAGTCCTCTCGTCCTCTGGCTTGAGATGGCTGCCACCTATGGGTCAGATGATTGTCTGCCAGCATTAAGCAATTGGTAATTAAATATTTAAAACATTTTCCCTAAACAGTGTAAAATTTTGGAAAACATTTCACGAAAATAATTGTCACGCACAACGAGTCTGTGTGGAAAATGTCAGCTCGATTGGATCACGGGAAGTGGGTGAAAAAACGACCGAAAGATTTGCACGGTCGTAAGCAAGCAAGCACGCAAGCAAGCAAGTGAACTTAATATAAAGGATTTAAAAACCAGGGATCTTCTGCATTGGATCTTTTACGAGATGTTTACGAGATGTGTTTGACTTCGTTCAGTTCTCCAAGCTTCATTGGGATTGAATTCGCACTGTTGAAGGATAAGCGCATGGGTCCAAAAAGGCTTGCGCGACTTCAAGCGATGACGATGGACGATATTGAGGTCCTGATGAATGGAAAGGTGATGGGTGGGGGAGAAATGTGTCACAGCACGAGCAGCCAGGGTATTGGGGTCGACTTGAGGGTTCTAGTGATATACCGCATTGCAGTGTTCAGTTGGACATCAGCAAGTCGGGTGTGGCAACTTCTGGTCCATACTGCTACACAGTACACGGCTACAGGGTACACGAGGGCCACCATGTATGACCGTAGCACTGAGGGGCTGATGCTCCCCAGCTTGTGCTTGCTAGTTTCTGGACCAGGTTGCCCCTTGTGTTGCTCTTGACGATACCTTTTTCAGGTGGTTGTGGAAGGTCAGCTTACGGCCCAGCTTCACTCCGCGATAGGTTGAAGTGGGGTCGTGTCGCATCGTGTAGACGCAGTAGGTCACTTTCAGAGTGTGCTTGGCGCTCTTATTAATTATCAAGATGAAATGCAGTGACTGTTAGACATTGAAAAGCTTTGCTAATAATGTTTGGTCACTTATCCTGCAGCCAAAGGTGTTATATTTGCACGTAAAAATGCTGAGTTGATTATTTGCAAACAGGTGCAGGTGATACTGGAGAGATGTGTTATCAGTCGAAACAGATATGTGTAAAGTCAAGTATTGATTTCCCGACATAGTTGCTTCATCAGCGCATATAAAAGTCACGCAGAGGCTGGAATTGTAGCTGAGATCGCAAAAGCTTCCACGATGAGACTCATTATAGCCTTAGCTGCTGTCTGCATAGTAGTGGTGTCTGCTGTGCCTCCTAAGGAAAAGTTTTTCTTCCTGGTGAGTCTAACTTTCATTATCATTACACGGGACAAGGCTATTATACCAAGAATGTATACATTTGAACGGTTTTATAAAAAGGACAATCTTTAGTAAGAAAATTCTAATTTCTCCGGCCAGATATTCATACATCTATCATCACAATGGTTTTATCAATTGAGATAAATGTACTACAGTGCACGGTGCTGTATTTAAGATGTCAACCAGCCTACATACCCAGCCACCACATGAGCAAAATGGTGTCTGTCTGGCCAGATAGAGCGGAGGCTAAATGGGTGCATCATGAGATGGGCTGATGTGTGTAGGGGTACATTTGGAACTGAGTGGACTTGCCATCCAGTGTTGTCAAAACCCAGTCTCAGTGCTTATCAATCGGCCCGTTTGGCAGCAGCCACCCTCTAGCAACAATGGCAGGTGGAGGAGCAGCACTGACACTTAGCACGGTTGGCTATATGCGGTGCGAAAGAAGTTCAACATACATACCTACGTGACTTTACCGAAATAACCAAAGAGTATGCATACATACGTGCGCACACCAACGGAACACTGGGTCGCTAAAATGCAGCAAGTTGGCACGGAGGGGGGTCCCCAGGGTTTCTGTCTGCCGATTAATTTAGTCAGTTACCCCAGAATATGGGAGACAAAGGCGCCCGGGCGTGGTGTTGGCCACCCAATCCTCTCGTGTGCCGTGCAGGCCTTCACAGGTGCTCGCAAGCAGCACTTGTCCCTACGGGCTGTTAAGGCTATACAGGCGATCCGTGTCTTGTATGGGTTTACAGGCGATCCGTGTCTTGTATGGGTTTACAGGTGATCCGTGTCTTGTATGGGTTTACAGGCGATCCGTGTCTTGTATGGGTTTACAGGCGATCCGTGTCTTGTATGGGTTTACAGGCGGTCCGTGTCTTGTATGGGTTTACAGGTGATCCGTGTCTTGTATGGGTTTACAGGCGATCCGTGTCTTGTATGGGTTTACAGGCGATCCGTGTCTTGTATGGGTTTACAGGTGATCCGTGTCTTGTATGGGTTTACAGGTGATCCGTGTCTTGTATGGGTTTACAGGCGATCCGTGTCTTGTATGGGTTTACAGGCGATCCGTGTCTTGTATGGGTTTACAGGCGATCCGTGTCTTGTATGGGTTTACAGGCATATCTTCCAGCGATTGCACATTTCCCATTCATGGCGATTTGTCCCTAATGTATTATGCTGAAGCTGCTTCCTCCCTGGGAGGCTCGGGCATTATTCAATTTCATGGTGGCCGAGTGTACACATACACGACGTAGTTTGCTCCCGACTATATATATAAACATGTGAGTGTCGCTGTTGTTTTGGCTGATTGCAGGACGTTGGCGAGCTGTGTTTGGAGGGAGGCCAGTGCAAGAGTGGATGTTGTAAGCGGGAAAATCTGATTGGCGCGCGCCGCTGTGCTGCTCTCTCCAGCGAGACCCAACTCTGCCAGTACGATGTGAGACCACGCAGGGCTGTGCCCACATCATCAGCTGTGGGGGCAAATGATGACCGGTGGCAGGGTGGTGGCGCAGGGTGGCACTGCGGTAGCACTCGTGCCTCGCAGGGTGCCTCTCTGTGTGGAGTTTGTATCCTCATCCCCTGTTCTGCTCGGGTTTCTGAAACTAAGGGTGGCCCACTGAGCTACTGGGCCTTTATAGCTTTTTTCAGAAGCGACCTCGCCATAATTGATAGCTCAACGAAGTGGCTTAACAGGTGGAAATATATAGTAGCCAAATGCTCTAAACGTGGGTTCTCTGGTTTCCACTGAGGTCTCCGGGTATCTCTCATGGCTAAAAAAACACGTGAAACGTAACTCAGCAGTGGCCACTACAAACAGCACTGTGATCCATTATGGTGGACCTCAACGGCTCCTCTGCGATCCACCCGAAAGCCATGACCGACAATTGGCTGTGATATAATATTGCAACCCACCTATTGGCCACCGCTGGTGTAACTGATAACGGCCAAACATCCCAATGTTCAAAATGTTAGCTGCAAATTACTCAATTGGGGATCACGCACAGCAGCAACATTGCTCCGACTGCGATAAAAGCTTGACAGGACCCTTCAGAAAAAGAGGCTTGAGACTGGCTAAAGAAGCAGATCAATAATTAGTCCAACACAAAATTATAATTAACGTCGTTGAAACCTCATTTGCCAGTAAAAATTATGATAATTGTTTTTTTACCCTTTTATCTGGCAACAAAACTGATACCTTTTTTTACAAGGAGTCATGTTTGCATAGACCACAATACCTGCAGTCATAATGCAAACAAAACACATAACTCTGATAATGTATGCACTGTGATAATGTATGCACTGTGATAATGTATGCACAAGGACAGTGCATACATGATCATAGTTATGTTTTTTGTTTGCATTATGACTGCAGGTATCGTGGTCTATGCAAACATGACTCCTTGTAAAAAAGGTGTCAGTTTTGTTGCCAGACAAAAGGGTAAAAAAACAATTATTATTAACGTCGTTGTGGAGAATATAAAGAATAATAAATAATCAGATAAAACGCCTCCTTCACATATTTTGTTCCTCCATATAATGTGATTGTTGAGCTATGTATAATATATTATATAGAATGTCGTATTCAACAAGGCACCATATTTAGAAAAGAGGATATAATCTCCATGTATATAAAAGGCAAAGTTGTGAATGTGTCTGTTCAAAATGTTTAGCGTACTTCCCGACATGCAACAAACTGGAAATTTGCCATGTGGGTACTTTCCAGACTGTACACCATGCAATCATTATGAAAATACACGTTAGTGTTTTTTGGGGGGGGTGGGGGAGCTCAATAATGCATATATTTTTTGCACGGCAAGTGAGCCGTGACGTCAAATCTGTCATGTGACCCACGCGTGCGGAAGCATAACACATTGTAGTGCAGTGGTTAGTGTAGTAGTGTAGTGCTTGTAGTGTAGTGGTTGTAGTGTCGTGGTTAGCGCGCTGCGCTACGAACCCGGCCGAGTTCGACTCCCGCTCACGGCCACCACCGGTGACGATTATTTTAACCGGTCCTGGGCCTCCCCTAGGTCGACTCAGCCTCAAACGAGTAACTGGTGTGGTGTGTGAACATCGCCACTGGGGGCACAAAGGCGGCCGGGCGTGGTGAATCCAAGTCCCGGGGGAAGCCGGCTAGTGTTCTATAACTGATAGTTCTCCAGCATTGGTTCAAGCAAGCGCGCCTGCTGATGAGACACTGAATGTCAAAACCGGCCCAATGCTGCTGATATGTTGCACTACCAGAGGGCTGTGTTGCGGATGGGATGTGTACACGCAATATTGTGAATGTTTATGTGGCAGGACAGATAATGTGCAGGAAGTAATTGCTTATTTGTTTTGTGAAATTAATTCAAGCATGACTTTGTTTCAATTGTGCCTTTCATAACAATGTGTTCATGTAAACATCAGAAAAGAATGCAGAGATTCTCCAAAATGTTGCAACACGTAACAAACAGTTCTAATATACACGGTGTTTTACAAAGATGGACCCGATTTAAAAGCAGTACTGCTTTGAAGCAGCACTGCTTTCAAATTTTGTCCATCTTTTTAGAACAAAGCAGTACTGTTTTGAAATTGGGTCCATCTTTTTAAAACACCCTGTACTCAAATTCATCAACCACGTACATGATGCATAAAGCACACTTAAGAATACAAACTAGAATAGAGGCCGAACGAAATTCGGTTTCGGCGCCGAAAGTTGGCAATTGGCCACTTTCGGTTTACTTTCCGTTTCGACACCGACCTCTCGAGACGGAGTCTCACCCTGCTTCACGTATTCGAACAAACTGCGGCTGGCGCGAGCGTGAGTGACGAGGCCGGTGACCCCGGCGTGTGCACAGGGCATCCGGGACGTGTACTACGAGTGTCCGTGCGAGTCGGGCCTCAAGTGCGACGTGGACCGCACCATCGGTGGCATCATCGTCACCAATGATATCGGCGTCTGCATCGACCCCAACGACCCGTGAGGCAGCAGCAGCAGCAGCGGCAGCTCTTGACTCCACTACAAGGACGAGCACTTGCAACATTCTCGCAGACCAAGCCGCGTAATCACCTGCACACGGTTCACATATACACACGTCAGCAGCACACGAGACCAGCACAACGAGTGTCCACATCGAATGCGAGTGCAACATTTGCTTTGTGAAAAACGTGCAACACCGTAGCCACGGTGACACCTAGCAGTGAGATCGAAAACATGCTGAACGTGACACTGAGTTTTACAGTTAAGAACACTGAAACAAAGTCAGCAGTCATTGAGTTTTAATACATTCAACCAAAGGCACAGATAGCTTACGAAATAACACAAATGGCAACGATGTTTTGATTGCCCAAATAAATCTCATACAACAACTTGCAGCAAGCGAGCGTGTCTTGTGTGGCTTTGGTGCAGTTGGTCTCAGAAGGACTTGTCGAGATGTTAATTACCTCGCCGGGCCTACAGCAGTTCGTGGCTTCAACCCCGAGCCTGACGCTTACTGTATATTTGGAGTTTGCGTGTCTCTCTCCGCGGTCACGTGGATTTTTCTCCGGGTCCTCCCGTTTTTCCCTCCACATTTAGAAACGTGAGTTGAGAGTATTTAGCTGCTATAAATCCCCAACATGATAAGCCAACATGATAAGCCACTACATTGAGCTATCATTTGTGGCCAGGTCGCTTCTGAAAAAGAGCTACATAGTCGCTCAGTGGGCCTTGGTAAAATAAAAACAGTTAATGGTTTAGTTTAGGGTTGAGGACTGTCGTGTTTTGGAAATATGAATGCGAGAAACTTGCAGCCACCCTTTGTGATAGACACACGAATCGGAGCAGGGAAGGCAGCGACACACGAAGGGCTTCCGTGCGTGAAAGTGATCTGCGTGCGTGTGGGCACAGCTGTCGGCACACGACGAAGGCAACGCCGATGGGTACATACGCAGGACTCTTGACGAGTGGGAATCCGATGGAAATGACGCCCGCAAGCCATTACCATAAACACCAAGAAGAGACTTGTCAAAGCTCTGGTTTTCCCTGTCGCCCTATATGGTTGTGAGTCATGGACGCCGAGATTGAGTGAACGAAAAAGGATCGGCGCATTTGAGATGTGGTGCTGGAGAAGAATGCGAAGTATACCATGGACAGCCAACATATCAAACACGTCCGTGCTAAGAGAGATCGCTCCCACTCTTCCACTCGAGGCCTTATTTGTGAAGCAGAAATGTACATACTTTGGACACGTTGGGGGGACCTCTGATGGACATATTTCACGAGACGACTCTTGGAAAGTTAACGTGAAGTCCAACTAACTAAGTAGGGTAGGTTTAATGACCTACGCATGATTCATTATGATTGTATTTACCCAGAAAAAAACCAACACTCTTGTCTGGAAGGTCTTGCCAACTTTTCATAGAAGCGGGCAAGATGCCCAAATCCAAACTAAGGTCTTTTAATATACAGTAGATATACTGTGCTTAGGGGCCGTCCATAAATGACGTCACGCGATTTTGGACGATTTTTGACCCCCCCTCCTCGTCACACAAAAACTCAGACCCCCCCTCAAATATGACGTCACAAAGCTCTGCCCCCCCAAAATAAAACATGCATCTAATCGCTTTAATCTATTGTCATTGCAGTGCGTATTTAATGTGGCGCTGCACTCTGATGTTGTAGGAGAAAACATTTATTAAAAAGTCTATTCAATTAAGTGACGTCATATTTCTCACCCCCCCCCCCCCTCGTCACACATCGTCACAAATGTCTGACCCCCCCTAGGTGCGTGACGTCATTTATGGACGGCCCCTTATATGTGAATCACGCAAAGCAGCCTTCATCTGTCAGAGCGATTTCTTAGGCAAATTAGTATTTATGCGGTGGTCACCCCCCGTTTACAACCCCGAGAAAATGGTAGCAATTCCACGTTCCTATGGCAGGATTGTCCTATATTATCCATAGGACAATAACTGTTGCATTCCCCTTAAAGTGGTACTTATTTTATCGGCCCCCGCAGGGTGGGGGGGGTATAATAATATATGTCAGGATGTGTGATACAGATATGCTGTTCACAAATTGGACAAATGTGGGCTAAAGTTATTAAGTCTGCAGGCAAAGTGCCATCATTTAAATCTGGCCCGACCGGAGCCGCTAGTGACGCAACGCAGCATACAGTTACGACGCGCTGTTTCGGAGAAATGACTGCTTTGGGAAGCAATCCACCACACCCTTCAGCAACATTCGCAATGCCCTCAATACAGTCAACGTTAGAAAAATCAGATGTCATCTCATCCGTCAACGACTGTGCAATTCCGAACATTGACTTACATTGCCTTTTGAAGAAAGTGCTGTCTCAACTTCTCTGTTGTGTTATAACTTTGTCCCATGTGTACAAACCTGTACTGCTGCACGTAATAACTGTATTCATAAAGCGCCTTTCTACCCGGGAATCGAGGCAGTCTGCATTACAAATATAGATCATGGGCCAAGGGCAGGACAAACTGAGAAGCCCGTGAGGCGCTGATTCAGATAACTGAAAGCAAGAGAGAGAAAATGCGTGCATGTCAACTCATCCGTGCCGTTATGATCGCGGCAAGTTATTTATTTCACTTTCTTCGTCTAAGTGAGCAATTGTTTTAATTTGAACGTTTTGCTACAACTTTACACTCGTACATTTTACTGCTATTTCCTGCATATTATGCGACACTTTCAGATCAAAATATTTTACGCGGCCTTTTGACTATTTTGTAAGTGAGACATCAAAGATCCCTGACTGAAAGTTCAATTGATGGATTTAACATCTTAAAAACTCGTAAGCTCACTCCAGCAGGTGTTCTAATGTACCCTGAATCTCACTGTCAGTGCTAACTGGCAAAATCTGTGTCTCGTCAAAAGGTATTCTATTTAATAATATAATCAAGGTCTAGCTATTCTCAAAAAAATATTTCCATAAAACAGCAATAGAGGTTGCAAATGGGAGTACAAACGAGAATGCAAACAAAGCAGAGATAATGACGCATGCATCATACTATAAATGTATTTTACTGTTAATACAATATCATCAAACACCTTATGTATAATCTTTAAGTGAATTTCCAGCTTCCTGACAAAGAGCAGCAATGTAGTTTGGTGTGGAATGGTACATTATTTGTTGGGGTCATCTATTGTATAGAAGTGGTGTAAATGTCACCGATGATGCACTGTGCTATGAACACACAGCGCCGGGTGCGTCACAATGTAGCTTATCCAGCATCAATCTCAAACCGGTTTTGCAGATGTCAGCCGTGAATGCCACAATAACCCACATACCTACTGCAGCTTCACGCTACATTTTTTGAGTATCTGCAGTCTTTATAACAGTTACCTTGGCCATTAAATCAGAGAGTTTTGATAATAATCACCGTAAGAGGCCTCCGTGTCCAGCTTCACTTTAGCTAAGGCTCTAAGATGTTATAAAAACCTACAAAAAAAAAAGTAACATTTTCCGAATTAGTTTCAGTCATTTGTCAACCTGCCAACAACATGGGGGTTGTTTGACTATATTTCACCAGACTGGTCAGTACAGGTTAGCGAAGGAGTAGTCCAGAGCCACTTCAGATATCAAATGCCAACATTGGAAGCCGTGAGTGCGAATTTAATTCAGCGAGGTCACAGTTCAGTGCGCAAACTACTGCGCCACTGCTCTGTGCACCGTGTGCATATGTAGTAGGTTCAAGAAGACTTGGACGACGTAGTTGGAGGCACACTTATTTATTGAACTACAGTTGTATATACAGGCCGAGATATACAACACTCGAAGGGGTATCGGCCCCTTCACCCGCCTAACAGGGAGATCCCACAATCTCTGTCCCGGCTAGCTTACTCCCAGGTCCTCCACTACAGGGCTAGGGGAGGCTAGCTGACCCAGCTCTGGTCAAGCTGGGATTATGGCACCCTGAGTCCCCAGACCGGCTCTTAGAAGAACATCGGTTCTGGGCTCTCGGGGCCACGCCACTGGCTTGCCCTGGTCGATCCTGAGAAGGACAGCGATCCAGGGGAGTCCCAGGGCCTATCTAGCCGGTCTTCTTTCTTCGCTGGTTTAAGCTAAACACTGAGCCCCGAGCCCTCCGGCTCACCGCCTTATATAGCAACTCCCCCACCGAGGGGTGGGGCCTTGGGCGATCCCAGCGCCGTATTAGCCCCCCAGGCTAAACGGTGCGGACGTGGATGTAAGCATCCTTCCGCGTGCGGGCATAACCACCCCCGGTGTGTTTGTTTGCCCTCCCGTAACACCTCTACACATACGCTACTCATTTCAAACGACCAACTGAAATAAGTGAATGGGTTATCGCATGAACAACTAACATTCGATTCAAAAGAGTGTCATAGGCATCATCTTGAAACTGGCTGCAGAGACGTCCATGTCACAGCCATGAAGGCTGCTGTCTGTACTACAGGGACCATGGCTTGAAGTAGCGACGAGAAGAATGATACATTTGTATTCGATTATTGCTTAAAGACCTGCAAAACGCTCAAGACATCTGATATGCCGAAAAGTGCTTTTACATATGTATATACAGTGAGGGAAAAAAGTATTTGATCCCCTGCTGATTTTGTATGTTTGCCCACTGACAAAGAAATTTACAGTCTATAATTTTAATGGTAGGTTTATTTGAACAGTGAGAGACAGAATAACAACAAAAAATCCAGAAAAATGCACGTCAAAAATGTTATAAATTGATTTGCATTTTAATGAGGAAAATAAGTATTTGACCCCTCTGTAATAAAGGACTCTTAGGCGATGTTGGTCTCTGTCTGTCCTTTATTGGGTTCTTTTCTCGCACCCCGCGATGTCCCCGGTCGGACCCGCACCTCTTCCGTCGCGTGCCCCTGCACGCTGTTCGAGTCCTCCGCACACTCTGCAGCCACACCGCTGCCCGTGTGACCCGCACACTCTGCAGCCACACCGCTGCCCGTGTGACCCGCACACTCTGCAGCCACACCGCTGCCCGTGTGCCCCGCACACTCTGCAGCCACACCGCTGCCCGTGTGACCCGCACACTCTGCAGCCACACCGCTGCCCGTGTGACCCGCACACTCTGCAGCCACACCGCTGCCCGTGTGACCCGCACACTCTGCAGCCACACCGCTGCCCGTGTGCCCCGCACACTCTGCAGCCACACCGCTGCCCGTGTGACCCGCACACTCTGCAGCCACACCGCTGCCCGTGTGACCCGCACACTCTGCAGCCACACCGCTGCCCGTGTGACCCGCACACTCTGCAGCCACACCGCTGCCCGTGTGACCCGCACACTCTGCAGCCACTCTGCTGCTCCGTGTAACTCCGCTCTCTCTGCAGCCACTCCGCTGCTCCGTGTGCCCCGCACACTCTGCAGCCAGCCCGCTG